ATGGTAGGCGAGTGTTTGGAAAAAAGTCACATTTGAAACCTAGCCTTTTATTTTTTATTTCCATGCTCGATGTTTTATTTTGTGTTAGCCAATTAGCTTTACAACGACGTTCGATTCGTTTATATACTGATCTTGGAGTATATTAAAAAGCATTTCGAAATATGCTCTTACTCGCATTTAGAACACAATTTCAGACGAACAATTGTTTTCAATGATTCATAATCATGCTACAGCGTCGTGTGGAGAATTGGTCATCGATATGATTTGACGAAGGGGAATCCGAGCTAGTGGAAACCATCCAGTTTATCATAAAACATCTTACTGATAACGAAATTAATTTGAGGATACTCGCACAGAAGCTCTACGTGGACTTTTATTTCGGTGTACTAATAACGTCAGTTTCTTTTCAAATGAACGACCTACCGACAAAAGGACGAAGTATCAATAGGATCATCACTAGGACCCCTTTTGGTGGATATTGTCATGGTGGTGATGAAGAATAATCAATTGAAAGGCACCGTCACTAGTCTTCATAAATATTATCGGTTTGTAAATGACATATTTTGTACAGATGATTCAAACTGCGAACTGGATCAACTAGAAAAGTTCAACTGCGCGCACAAGGTCATAAAATTTACAATGGAGGTAAAAGCAGATGATTGAATACCGTTTCTGGATGTACTCCGCATTGGAATACGTGATGGATCTATACAACGCCTTGTGTACAGTAAGGAACCATGGAGTGGCTAATACACGAACTTTTACAATTATGTCCCAATCAAGCTAAAGAGTAACTTGATAAAATGTTTGGTATCTAGAGCTCGGATAATCTGTTCACAAGAAATACTGGAAGATGAACTCAAGCTTATCTTCAACGTGATCAGAACCAATGGCTACAACGACCGCTTCATTCAACGAAATATGATGGAACAGGTACCCAAGGTACACACCGATAGGGTTGAAAAGAAGGACCTGTTCGTTAATCTTCCTTTCAAGGTCGAAGTTACCAATGAAACCCTCCAGAAGACGACTGAATGCAGCGGTAAACGTCACATTCAACGCTGCGTACCTACGCCACTCTTTCAAAAGTTCGCCACTGATAACCATACGCCAGAAAGCTAAACTACCGATTTTGACCGCTTCAGTGATTGTTTACCCGTTCAGATGCGTTTGTGACGCACACTACGTCGGTCGTAGGGCTCGGCAGTAATCTTTTGTTGTTGTCTTTCATGCGGATTGCATCCGCGCTGATTGAGTTAAGATGGTTCCGGATCTATCACAAGTGCGATTCTCGCTCACGTGCTAGACACTGGCCATCGTGTTAACTCAAGTGAAGCATTCCGCATTACTTATCAGGTTTCCCCGAAACGATCCAAATATGTTAAAATGTGTACTTTGACCGTAACCTAGGTCATCTGTAATAAACATTAGACCTCCGAAATACGCGCTCAGAAGAGTCTTATCCAAGCTCTTAATTTCTCCCTTGGGTTAGCGAATCGACCCCTTCCAACTGCCCAAACACATACATTTTCACACAACAACACCGATCCCTCAGAACAGTGTCACACCACCAATGTGACATAATTGAAAATCCCGGAAGCACAGATCTGAGGATGTGGTGTGCAACAAACACACACATACGCACACAGATACGCATACACGAAGTGAACGATTCGTAACATTTTATTATTCTCCTCCCAGCGTCTAGGTTCTTCCCCTCATATGAACTGTAACGGTATGATTATGAGTTATTATAAACAATTGTTCACCTGAATTTGTGTTCTAAAAAGTATATTATTGCTTGATTATCTGCCGTCGAATGTGCGGCTGTTTTGAAAATAACAAAAGAATCTGAAATATTTAGATTCAATGCATGCTATCGTTCCTACAAGAATGCAGTTTGTACCGAAATACAAATTACTGAACCGCGTTTTCTGAAACTGGAATATGCATTTTTGATAATCAAGAGATTACACTTTTCGGACACTTGAGTGCACTGGAATTTTCCTAGATCACAGTTTCCAAACATTTCTCACGTTTTAAAGCTTACTCGGGAAGTTGCGAGCTGATACCCTCAGGAGAGCACAATTATGATTTCCAATTCACTCTTCCGCGCTCGTGTCCGTGTTCCTTTTCTGCTGCCCGCGGCAGTGTGGAATATCGCATTAGTGCAGTCATGCAACATTCGGACGGGCTACGTCAACAGGTCGCTCATGGATTCCGAGTGATTCGGGATCTGATTATTGATCGGAACGCTGTGAGTTGCAAGTAATCTTCGCAAACCAGTAGCGAAGATTAGGTGTTTGTGGGCTTTTAGATTACAGATGATGTGAATAATAATCACTTAGTTTTCTAAGTTGATGGAATGGTGATACGTATAAATAAAAACCACTCAAAACGGAATGACAAACGTTTCAGTAAATGTGAATGTTGATGATTCGTTGGCGCTTGCCGTGAACTTTGTTTCTCGGTTCCTTGTTGCATTATGGAACCACCGCATACCACAATTTCAGGGTCATGGCGAAAATAAACTTACTTCTTATTGTTATCGTGATTCTCTGTATTCATTTTCTCCACATTTTTTCTCGTCTCTACCTGAATCTCCCGTTTTATTATTATTATTATTATTAATAATAATAATATTATTATTATTATTAGTTCCCCGCTTTGGCACCATGTTTATTTGTAATACTCCCTCTGTCTATATATATGCAACATTGAATCCTCAGAAGATTAATCAAAAGTGTTGAGACGATCAGGTCTCCAAGTACATAACTTGTGTTTATGATTCCCAATTATTTGTTATAATGTAAAATAATATTGAAACCATGTCAAACGCTGATGAGATTTAAGGTCAATAGTCTGAGTATGAGAAACAAAGTAAGGATATATGTTGGTATGTGCGGCTAAGCACCTTTGGATTTCCAGATCTACAGAGTAATGCGGTCGGTTAGAGTGAAGTGTTACTAAATAACCTCGTCAGTGAAGACCAGATTTTTTTCCAGATCGCTGAGCATTGATAATCAATAGAAAGTCGAGTAGCGTACAAAGACCTAGACTTTTATCGATTTACTCATGCAGGTACGTATTTGGCGCAAATTATGTAGGTGATACTTCAAGGTATACCTTCAACACAATCGAAGGTCACCTCATGGAAACCAAGGGAAAAATCGACTCAGAATACGTCTTCAAAGTGACAGCATAGACAATGGAATCGATTATTGGTCATGGATGAAGCCATTGTGATTCGCTTACTTGGCCCCACCTTTGCCACTAAGAAACATCCAGGTGCTCTAATCGTATAGGTCTATAGTCTGTAGACCGGATTTTGTCGAGTTTGTCAAGCGGAACACGGTTAAATCACTCGTTCACATACCGAAACAAGCTGTCGTCTGTCTTGACTTCACTCTTAAGAGACTCAGACTACTTACAGTTAAACAATCCAACGGTTATCTTCGTGTAAACACCGTTGCAACCAGAAAACAGATCGTAGGTGAACATTGGTTTTCGGTGATTTCACCATTAAACCTTTCAGACACCGGATGNCAGACACCGGATGATTAATGACACATTGAGAGAGAAACTTGTCACTCCCTCACCTCCTTGAAATCGTTAATTTACCTCGATTTTTTAACCCTACCACGTCACTCTCCCATTATTTTTCACATGAGTGTGACTGAAACGGCTTTAGGATACATTCACCGATAACAATGATGTACAGTAGCAGTACAACCAAGCACCACTGAAAATCATCAGTCAGTTTCCGAATCGTTTTCCCACTATCGTCACGGGGATATTTAAGCGTGTTAAAACCAATGTGGATAATTACCTAATTATCTACTCCACCCAAGGAATTCAAACTATTAAAGAACGAATGGGATGTACGATTGTTAGGATAGTTATCCATCAACGTTTATATTCACATCTGTTCTTGATTCAGAAGACGGAACAATGAAGTTTCTGGTGAAATTGAATAGGTACAAAAACAACAGAAATGCTAGTCTTGAATAATGATGAAAAACATTTATAGTGTTGTCCAGCAGTTGTATGATGCAGTGACATTATTTCTGAATTTCACCAATCATTTCATACGAAGTACAAACAAACAAGATCTGTGAATTTCCGTTACAACAACGGAAATCAAAGTGAATATCATGTAAATCCAGTAATTTGGATCATATTGCTGCTTCTCTATGTGCACAATTCATTTTCTTTTATTCCGGTCAGGACATTCCAAGTACGTATGCCTGTCCACCTATCAGTCGAAATTTCGTGAGTAGCTTTGACCTTTTCACTTCAAATGAGGACATGAGCCCACTCATCAATTTGGTAAAACAGCGTGCTGGCTGTGATCCGGTCAACGAACCGAATAAAAAATGGGATTCCTCCGAGCGGAACGTCCATCGGCCACGGCAAAGCCTGTGGACCGTCGAATCTAATTTGAAACGACCGCATTTGCATAACTGGATTTTTTGCGGGAAGAGACCGGTGCGTGCTTCATCTTTGTCATCATTGTGTTGTAACCGTCCCGGGGTTGATCAAAAATATCACACCTCTATTGAGGCCAGACGTTTGAGTAAACCAGGTGAAACAACAAAACTTATATGTGATGATGAAGCCATTCACTTCACACTGAAACCAACCACCTGGAAGCAATATGTTCATCAGTGGTTCACGCGTCCCAGATCGTCCACCTCAAAAAACAACATGATCAGAAAGCTTGTTCGAATAAGTCGATGCACAGACAACACTTATTTATTGCCATCCTCATGGATTTCTCGCTCTTACACGTCAAGCTACGGATCCCATCCAAGTGCTGCACTCGGTTCGCAAACGGGTTATGCCGTTTCGTGTCGNTTCGCCCTTATCCTAGCTCCGTCCACGGATTTGGTTAGTCCGGATAATTTCCAGTGGTGTGCCTTATTCAGTGGCCCTTGTTCCAGACGTTCTAAACGAATGTGGAGCCCTTTGGCACGAGCTTTTGTGTCCTATTTTCTGGAGGACTGTTTTCATAAACGAACTGACGGGATCGAGCGATACACCTCGCGTGCCTGGTGGCGAAGTATTGTTAAACAACCATATCGAATATTTCTTGTCTTGCGACAGGTAGGTAGGTATATTATTATATTAGTACCGCAAACAGCTTTACATTGTGTGATGTTGTAGGGCTTATCAAATAAGAAGTATTTGTAATATGTGTCCGATGGTCTTTTGTACTCTAAAGTGCCGTCCTATTTTCTCTTGATGAGGAACTTCTTGCAGGATACCTGACAAGAAACGCTACCAAATAATCACGCTTCCATTTTTCCCAGAAAGATTTTTACCGAGGATACGGTCCTTGTAACTATGAAGCAGAGAGGAGCTTCCATCTGTCGCCTTGTATTTTGCGCATATATGGTACATTGAAACGGACAGTTATGAGGCAGTTTGGATGATGTTTTATAAAATGAAAAGGGAGAATTCCAGTTTCTTTGACGTGGTATCCGTAGTTGTGATTGTCAAATAAAGGCATACATCGTTCTTGTTTTATACTGGTGGAAAAGCCTACTATTCATCCATCAAATTGAATCAATTGAAAAGGATACTTGCATACCCCAGGTGTTTAGGCGTTAATGGCAGCCAATAATGCGCACATATTAGGTTGCAAATTATAACCAGTACATGTTCAATCAACAACAAAAAACCTTCAAACCACCTTACATGAAACTATACATGTCAGTTAGATGAAGTTTGTCTACTTAGGCTGGGTGAGAAGTGGCGTACTTTGTGACAGTCGACGCCCGTTACTTGTATCAGTATGTGTGGATTGTAGCGGTCGATCGATTTTGTCACTGGCTGCACGCCTGTCCATCGGACTTCCGATTGACTGTCTACTCAGGGCTCAATCACTGAACTGTCCCGTTCTGTTCACTACCTGACCGAATTTTAGGCCACCTGTAGCAATAAATACGTTTTTGTACCCGTTGTTCTGACCACTGTTGCAAAAGGCAGTACAGGCATATGAAAATCGGAAACGTACCAATCCACATATTGGCACGCACCGAATTAACAAGCCCTCGGTCGAATCCCAGTGGATATGGGGTGCGTATATCGCTAATGATCATCAACATGAAGAAAACCACCATACAGGGCTTCCGGCATATCTCAGTGATAATCGGAGTGAGAGGTTGGCAATAAGAAAATGTAATCCATGTGTAACCTATTTGCTCATTGTTACTCCAAGCCAAACATTCTTTATCGGTGATTTTGTTTAGTTGTTTCACCAAACGACTCTAATTAGTTTGCGTGTGAATGTATATCAACACAGTGTTGTTATATAAAGAATAAACCATACAATTTTATTCAACGGTATAAATTTGATCACGGATTTACTGCGGAAGGTGATGACAAATCATGGTTACATATTTCTTGTCTACCTAGGTATGCAACCATAGGATGTAATTTGAACTCGAATGTGTTATTATTGCTCCTTAAAAAGTACGCACAAATACCTCCTACGGATTTCATATAACGTGCACTTTGGATCGAAATGCCAGTAAAACACTTTGAAAACTGAAGTTAGGTGGTTTTTTGGAGACTCAGACATTGGAATTACAGCTGATGTACTCGTAACGTCTGGCATTATACAAGCGTTTTCTTTCTGGCTGATCAATCGGTCGTGCCCTTGTAAGGAAGCCACTTTTCAAGGTGATCCCCAAAAACGTTTTGACAGTAAATTGAGGGATTTCAAGTACCCACAAACGGAAAACCTGTCTCGTTCTAGTCGCTTGTTAACCAAACAATTTCGGCGACGGGCTCAAGGTGAGACGCACAACATAACCCGCACTCCAGTCTGGACAGCCGAACTGCCGTCCTAGTTTGAAAAAGACTAATAGAACTGTGAATGTCATACCCGAGTATCTTCATGAACTTTATCCGTACAATGCGCACTGATCACGGCAAGACGTCCTTGGTATGGCANATGGCACGTGTCTCGTGTTCCTCCCTTGTCAAAAGTCGATTCTTCAGAATGTGTTCTCGATATATTTTTAGTGCATTGGACACTAATCACATTTGGAAAGGGAATCATAGGCGTTTATATATAAAACTGAACCAATCAGATTGTTCGGCGGACAAAATTAAAGTCGTATACGGACCAATCACGAAAATACAATTGATGCACTAAAATAAACGATCAATTCAAATAGCACTCTCCAACACATCCTTCTTGTTTTGAAAGCTTTTCATTATGATCCTTATTGGTATGTCCGTCCGCTTCTTGTTTGGGATGGAGATTGTGCTGTCATACCCGTCGTTGGTATTTCTCGCTGCGGTTCTTGTACGCGGATTTCGACATCCTCATGAACAGTATTTGAATCTTCTTCTTCGTCTTCGCCGCCATCCACTTCCATTTTCCTCAAATGAACTCTTTTTCTCCGTATTACCAGTTGATCACAGCGCACTAGGTACGATGATTTTGTGGCCCGCGATATCACTTCTCTCTTCACTCACACCTTCTCAGCTGGTTCCAGTGGTTGTACCCATACCGTGCCTCCTGATCTGAGTGAGCACAGAGGTTGAAGGCCGCAGGCGTAACACCTCTTCTGTAGCGCCACGAGTTTCCTTAGACTGTATGACTATTGATGGTGTATTCTGTGGCTGTAGTAACTCGTCGCAAATGGGTGGAACCGTGCGTGCGCGTTTGCTAAATAAACGTTGGCCCGGGCTGGTTCCCATGTTGACCGACGGTATGTTTTGTAACTCGAGCAGAGCCATTAGTGGGTCACTACCATCCGCGCCGCATTTCTTGGTAAGCTTCTTTGCCTGTTTCACTGCGCTTTCTGCTTTACCATTGGACTGACTATGATAGGGGCTAGTAAAGTGGTGCTCAAGGTGCCATCGTTCACTGAATTTCTGGAATCCGGTAGTACGAAACTGGGGACCACCATCGGAAATCACCTGGAGTGGTATTCCGTTTCGTGGAAAATGAACGCATAGTTTATCAATGATCTCCGCCGGGGTGCTGGATCGCAGTCAATCAACCTCGAAAAGGTCACTGTAGTAAAGAACAGTTATCAAGTAGTGGTCCTTTCCGTAACACAAAATATCCAGTGCTAGCATTTGCCATGGTCTACCTCGTATTGCACGCATATTCATCGGTTCCCTCATTTTTCGTGGATCAAACTGCCTGCAAATTCCACATTTATCAATCAACTGTTTTATCTGTTCTGACATGTCCGGCCAATAATAAGTCTCCCTGGGGCGACTGAAGCAATCGTTAATACTGGCGTGAGAGCAATGTATCAAACGCATTACGTTTTGCTGAATCGTCTTCGGTACTACCAGCCTTTCACCACGGAAAATTAGTTCATCGTGAACGGTTAGTTCATCTCGGAATTTGAAGTAGAGCAATGTGTCCATCGGAAGGGCGTTTTTGTTTTCTGGCCAACCACGAGTGATAATTCTTTTGAGTTCTTGCATGCTCGGATCGTCAATAGTAGCAGTTCGTATCTGAGACATCTCGAACTGCGTCACCGCCAATGCAACATTTACGGATTCCAGTTTTTCTTCCTGTCCTGTGTCGGGCAGTGTGGCTCGTGATAACATGTCCGACGGAAACATGAGTCAACCAGGTGTGTAGTCATTGAATTTTTCCAACGCATATACAAATGCTAGCATTTCCTTCTCAATCTGGGTGTACTTTTGTTCATGGGCCGTTAGTGTCCTACTCCGATAATCTAATGAACGCCCATTTTGAATGAGCACGGCACCAAAGCCAAATTGACTGCTGTCAAATGGTACGCACAGAGGTGCATTGGAATCGTAGTAAGCCAACACTGGGGTTTTCACAATAAGTTGTTTGATGCGATGAAAAGCCTCCTGTTTTTTCTTGTGTCCAAAGCCACGGTTCTCCTTTATGCGTCAAACGTCGAATCGGCCGCATCAATTCCGCTAGTTCGGGAAGGAATCTATTGAGATCTTTTATCATTTCATTGAATCCTGATACGCCTTTCATATCGGTTGGAGGAAGCATTTCTATCATCGCTTTTACCTTTTCCGGTTCCGGTTTGATCCCTTCACTTGTAAGTACGTGACCGTGAAAGATGACTTCCGATTGACAAAAGATTAGCCTGTCTTGTTCCAGCTTGATTTCGTCTCGCATACACCACTGTAAAAAGCCTTCAAACCGTCTATCGTGTTCATCTGTATCATTAGCATGTCTTCCGCTACGCACAATACACCGGGTAAATCATCTACCGCTTGGAGGATTCGTTTATGAAAAATTTCACTTGATACTTTCAAACCGAACGACAGTCTTTTCCAACAATTTCGCCCGAGTGGTGTGCCAAAAGTGGTCAGGTAGCTTGATCTATCGTCCAGCTCTAAATACCAAAACGCAGAGGCTAAATGCGCCTTCGTAAAGTATCTTGCATTAGCTATTTCCGGTAGTATATCGTCAAAAATGGGTAAGGTGAACTGCTCCCGTCTTAATGCCTTCGGATGGCTTCGGATCGATATATTCTCAATTCCCCAGACTTCTTCGTCACCACCACAACCTGACTTACCTAGTTCGTTGGTACATCGACTTTTTCCAAAACGCTCTTTGCGATAAGGTCATTCACTTCGCGCGAAAATTTCTCTCGAACTGCAAGTGGGATCCTTCGAGTTGGTAAAACAATGGGTTCGGCTGCCTCGTTTATATGACCTGTCACAGTTCCTGGCAACTTTTCCAGTTTTCCATCGAATACAGAGGCGTATTTTTCAGTTAGTATTCAGTGTCTTTACAAACGTGATGAACAAATGAATCATAGCTAAGCGATACCAAACCAAGTCACTCGATGGACTCGTATCCAAGGATTGGAACATAACCCGGCTCCACCACGACAAAACTCACAACAGAAGAGACTCTGTTTCTAGTTTTCTTCAGTGTAAGAGTGGTTTCTCCCTTCGGCTCCATGTTTGCACCCTTCTAAATAACCAATCTCGTCTGGGTTGGGTCCATTGTGCTATCGGGTACGTAATTTCTCAGCATTATGTTGACGGACACACCAGAATCCAGTTGGAATGTGACTTCTCCGCTCACCAGGATTTTTGCAAATATCTCTCCGTTTGGCCCGTAGTTGTACACCATTAACACGATCAGCTGCTGGAACGTGAGGTTTTGAAGTTGCTTCTTTATTCATGAAACACTTCGCTGCAAAATGATT